CCAAATTGTTCCCAGTGACTCCTCTAATCTCCCCATCTTCTCTCTCCCCTCTGCCTTTGCCCACAGTCCACTCCACCTGGCACGCCTTCCCCTGCATCTTCTTTACCAGACTAATTCTAGTGTCATTTCCCCAAATTTCATTAGTATACCGACATTACCACTTGCTCAAACGTGTAGAAATCTCTCAAGTTCTTCAGACAAAACGTTTTCATCAAGTAACAGAAAATGACGGGTGAACAGGTAGCAAAGGACAATTCCAGATTGAGTGAATAGTAAAAAGAGTTGAAAGACAAATGATCTGAAGTTGCATATGTAATTTCTTTTCCTCCCCAAAATACGAGATATGTCAGTGAGTTTCTGGGCGTTGTGCTTACAGAATTGGGCCAGGATACAAGGACAGCAAAAGTCTCACTACTATGGGTCTGTGTACTCATCCATGAAAGAACTGTTTCATTTACAGTAAACAAAACCAATTTGGGACAAGAGCTATCATTTACAGGTCTTCCCCACACAGAAGTCAGTAGTTTAGCAACTAAATTATTTGAGATGAATTTCCTTTTCTAACAGCAGAAATTGCAAGTGCACTTCATTTTTAAAAGAAAAGAGTCAGATATTTATTATTCTAGGCAAGAAGGCAGATAAAGGTGAGTCACAACTTCCAATGCAGCCTCCACAGCCATAGTTAGCTGACAGAAACTTGCACATAAGCTTCAGTCCTTCACTTCTAAAAGCCAGGCATCCATCTTTCTCCTCTCACTTTTGGAAAGAACAGAAAATTAAGCTGGAGTCATCTATTCTGAGATACACAACAGCAGGGACAGGGTTTTGGTTTCCTTCAACAATACACATTCCTCCCTGAGTTCCTGGATAGAAGCTCTGGGCTTTGTAGAGAACCACACAAGGATTCTACAACTAGGGGCCTGAGGGGCACTGTTTCCCACAATGTCTTTGCTTCACCTACAACAGAACAGCTCTGTTAACTTCACCCAGCCATTATGAGAGGAGAAATGCACTAAAAGGCAAAATACCATGATCAGATTATCACTAACCATTTAAACTCAGCGCCCTCAGACAAGACTTCCTCTAAGACATAACTAATGTAACAGGCTCATCTCTGTGCCCAACATGGCTGTGCCTTGCTGTATTGTGCTATTTATAATAGGGAGTGCACTGTACAGTAATTACATGCCTGGTCTTTGGCAGCCGGACTGGGATTCAGCTATTTTTTTACTAGCTGAGTAACTTTGGGCAAAGCACTCTAAGCTTTTAAAAACTCTTCATCAGACCCTACAAGTCCCCACTTGATCCAGTCCCTGCCTACCTCTCAGACCATGACTAGTACTGTCACTTTCCACCTCTTTAACTGTCTGGATATGTTGAGTTCAGGTCCCACCTCAGGGCCTTTGCACTTGCTGTCCTCTCTTCCTGTGTGTCACCTGGCTGGCTACTTTTCATTACTCAGGTCTCAGTTCAAATGTCAAAAAGTCACCTCCAGGATCTCATAAACATAATGTTGATTATGTGAGTATGCACTTATGTAATCCATTGTATAATTCGATTTACATAAAGTACAAAAAGGAACAAAACCAGTGTATGGTGGCGTAATTCAGGGGACTGGCTACTCTTTTCTAGGTGGGAGTAGTGACGGGAAGGAGCACCAGGGGGCCCTCTGGGTTGCTGCTAAATGATTAATTTCTTGATATGGATCTGATCTCCTGGGCATGTTCAGTTTGTGAAAACTCATCAACCTGTTCACTTATAATATGTATATTTTTATTACATGTGTTACAATGCAATGTCGAATTGGTTTTCCTGGATCATCTAATCTATGACCCACCATCTTGGCTAAGCTATTCATTCTCCAGCCCATGACCTTGTTTTATTTTCTTCATAGCATTTGTCACTGGCTGAAATCATTTTCATTATTGTTTATGTATGTACAGTCTAGCCCTTCCCCACCCCCATTAAAATATAGTATCATGTGACCAAGATCTCTGCCTGCCTTGTTTACTATCCCCAAATATCAGTACCTATAGTCTTGTTCTAGGTATAAGCTGAACAGAGAAACATATGTAAAATAAGAAATGGCAAAAGGGTGGCCCTTTAAGGATATAACATCAATTGAAAGTCAAAACAGAGAAGCCAACAGCAGAAGAAATAAAAAATGTCAATGACATTTAGCATCAGGAATATGTGTCAAATGTTAAATTTAACAACGAGGAGGGGGTAGATAAAGTGTCATTCTTTTGCACCTCTGTGAAAGTGGTTAAAGTTACTTCTCACAGCAGAAACTGGGTCATTTATCTCTGTACACACAAGAATTTTGCATAAGGCCTGGTACAAAGAAGGTCTGAGCCAAGAAGAGTAGCAAGAGATTTCTGAGATGCTTGGTGAGGATTCTTAAGTTTCCAAGAAAAAGAGGGTCATATTCAACTGTAATGTCTGCCGTGGGCAAGGGAATAGGTAGGCACAACATACATGCAGAGGTAAGTGGAGCAGACACAAAGAAGCATTCAAGAATATGAAAAGGGTTCCTTACAAATCACAAACAATACTCACCTACTTTCATTGCCAATTCTAAAATGTTTATAAAGAAAAAATTAAAATGTGTGAGTAGTGTTGCTGACTTGGATGTTACATAGTAACTTTATGCTATGCAGAGTAACTTACATGCTGATATAAGTTATTTTCATGAGGAAATTTACACCACAGCCTGGTATAATGGAAACTGAAAAGTAAACCTTTAATCTGTAATCAGTTCTGCCACAAACTCTCTTTATAACCTTGAACAAGTCCTTGAACTTTAGTGCTCAATTTTTCTACCTGTGAAATAAGCTAGTTGGATCTGATGCTTGCTAACGCCCATTTCCAGTTCTTGAACACTGTGTACTATTCCTGACTAAAAAAAAAAAAACAAACAAACTCATTTCCTAAGCTTATGTTCACAGGACAATACACCATCCACAAGTATGTAAATCAAAGTTACTAGATGCAGTGAGGTAGGAGATCCTTTTACCCAGTCTTCTTGCCAAACCAAGGGTATCACCCACCTAGATTCTCTACAGTGTTGTGTTCAGACTCCCATTTCTTGGTAAGGCAAGAAGCCCTATCATACTTCAGCTGAACAGTTGGATTTCTCAGCACAATTATTTCCTTTGCTTTTGTTTTCACTGCCTTAGGCCCCATGTTTCCCATCAATTCAAGTCTACTCTCATAGTTAGCACCACAGTTCTTGTTTTTTCTAACAAATAATGAATAGAACTTGATCACCTGGAGGTATTCTCCTTACTCTATTACAAGTTATTAGTGATTTTAATTAGACAAAACCACCATTCCTTTTGCTATCCCACCATACTGTCAAGTGCCTATTAAAGATATTACAGTAATAAGTTATTAGCACCTTTTAAATTTACATTAATGAAAACAGACAAATGAGAAGTCAGGAAATGAAAGAAGGGAAAAAAAAACCTTTCAGATGTCATAATTAACCAAAGCTTAGAGTAACTCAAAAAATCATTAGTAGCTATCTTTCAATTTTTTTAAAAAATATACTATGCATATCCTAGTTAAAACTGCAGGAGTGATCATTTGTCTCTCATCAATTAAAGATGGGAAAATGGACAAGGACGATGCTCTGCTGTGGATGAGCCCCACATCATCCTTTCTTTAAAAGAGGAGCGATATTACAATGGAGAATAAGAAGTCGAGTGGTTGAGGCATTTGTCCATGAGTCATCACCAACTCTTAACTCCCCAAAGACCTTTTGACTACTGTGACTCTTGCCACCTGCAGAAGGTATTGATCAAATCTACAGGAAGCCAAGTTCTAATAGCTATTCAGCATCCACCACTGGCCCTCCTAGGTTTTTATTCTCTTGAAACAAGGATTAAGAGGACAGGGCCAATGCTCTGATGTGTTTTAGTGCTGGGACTGATTGCTCACTGAATTGAGGGAGAGCGTTTCCCATCTTTCTCCCTGACCCCCTCATTTCACCAACTCAAGCACCACTACCCACCCCCACAAGTCTGCAAAAGCAGGCAGCCTGCAGAGAGCTCACTCCAGGAGGTGAGTTACTAAACTAGCAAGGCTGGGTTGGGTTTCTAGGCACCTTCATCATGTGGCCTAACAAACAGGCTCAAGAGAGAGACGGTTCAAAAGCAGCATTGGCAAATCAGGTAACTGAGGACAAACAAATGTTGCCTGCCATTTTAGTAAACAAGAATGTTGCTTGCCACCAAGTCAGCAGTCACTGCAGCCGCCCGAGACACTGCACCCTGAGGGGAATTCAGGATGCAGAAAAACAGGATACAGGCCCTAGAGAGTTAAGATGCATATCAAAGGAGTAACTTCAATAAGCCCAGACTCTTACACCTTCCCAAATTGAACAAAGCATTAAAATCACTACCTTGACATATGTGATTTTTGTGATTAGCCCTAATCTTTTGATGCTCCACTACAAGTTTTTTTTTTTCAGCCAAAACTCCCATACACCCTGGCTCCTCCCTTACCTCTCTGGAACAGTTTCTCAGAGCTATCCAGAAACTTCCCCAGGATACAACCCTCAATAATGCCTCCAATAAAATGTACTTCCCAACTTTCAGGCTGTGCATTTTTTTTCTGTCGACATAATAACACCTCAGGACTCCAAAACCCAGCCCCAGGGACTTTTCCTTAACTTGCCTGCAGCGCCTGACGCAGGGCCAGGCGCCCTCCGCAGCGCTAGGGTAACCCACGTCAGCGACAACTGACAGCTGGGTGGCTCTCACTCCGGGGTGGCCCGGACTGTCATTCCCCGCTCCGCCTGGGACCCCCGACACCTGAAGCGGGGTGGGGGTGGGGGGATGCTGGGGTCTCTCGTGCGCCCCCGGGCGCAGCACCACGCGTCCCCTCCACAGGTGCGGCGCCCTAGCGGCCGCGCACCGGCGCCAGGAGGAGGTGGACAGACAAGGACAGGAGGGCATCACTGGCTGCTCCAGGCTCCCACCAAGAGGCCCGCTCACCTGGGACCTGGCCGCCAGGAGCGGGAACCGGAGCGCCAGGTCTCTCAGTAGTTTCCAGGCCTGCGCCACCACAGGGGCCGCCATCTTAACCAGAAAACTTGCGCGGAGAGCCAGGCGGGGCGCGACGAACCAGGCGGGGCGCGGCGAAGGCAGGAAGGGGAGGGGAGGGGAGGGGGCGGGGCCCGGCCGCACCGCCCCCTCCGCCGGGGCCCGCCTGCTGCCCCCGGGACGTGGCAGCGCCCCTGAGGGGCCACGTTCTATAGCCCTGCGTCCCCCACTGTGACTCCCACCTCGGCCCCAAGTTCACTTTCAGCCTTCAGAGGCCCCGTGGCCTCCTCACCGTGCTACCCCGGCCCACGACGTGAGCAAAAACACATCCCGAGCCCTACGGTCGTGGGGCTTAAACTACGCTGGGGCGACAGGCCAGTGCACGTTGGCCGGTGCCGTGAGTGCCCTGAGGACCGGCCCACAGAGCTGACGCCAAGTAAGGGAGGCCTCTGGTCTGGTCCTTGGGCCCCAGAGGCTCACCTGGGGAAGCGATATTTGAGCTGAGCCTTGAGGCAGTACGGGAGAAGGAAGTGGGTCTGACGAGGTCGGTGGATCCCCTCTACACCTGAGTAAGAATTTTTTATCTTTTACCGAAGGTTAAGGCAAAGCAATTGAAGCACTTTAAGCCGGTAATCACCAGAACAAGAGCAAGCGTTTATTCGGAGTTTACGTGACTCTAAGCACTGTATATGTAATAAAATTACTATAGCAAATAAGCTTAATATGTGCCAGGCATGTTACAAATTATGAACTAATTTAGTCTTTATAGCAACCTTTCCAGTAGGTACCAATGTATAAATCCCCATTTGTCAGAAGAGAAAACTGAGGCACAGAGAGGTTACCTAACTTATTGAAGGTCAGAGATCTGATACAGATTAAAAATGGTTCAAACCCATGCTCTCTTCTCCCCACCCTATTAAGTACCATTTTAGAATTTTTTTTAACCTTACTCTGTTCTTGAGCCTATGATCATGAGAAAATGTACAATGTAACAGAACTAGGAAACTGTTTCTGCTTTACTTCCCTTTTTACTTTTTCTGCTTTTAATTTTTTTTTAATTTTTATTTTGACAAAACAAATCTACAGAAAAGTTGCAAGAACATTACCCCCAACTCCGAAGTACCCTTTGCCCAGATTTACCACTTATTTATATTTTGCTTCATTCCCCATTTTTCATAGATATAGATACATAGCTTTATAGCCCATTCTTAATCACAAGTTTACTGGCTAGATTTAGCATCCATTGTTGATTATTTCTTGAATCAGTTATTACTGTAATGGTTGCAAAATCATGATTGTCTAATTCCATTCCTTTCTACATTTTTTAGTTTACATTCTACTCTGAGAAGAGCTTTACCATCTCCCACGTTTATTTATCCTTGTGTTCACTTGTATCAATATGGACTCATGCGTCCCTTTTTATTCAGTGCCAAGCCTATGCTCATTCCTTTTACATGTACTCAGCTGCCTCTGAATATGGGTCATTTTATCCTCACAGGAACCCTGTAAGGAGTGATGATGTTATTCCCATTTTACCAGAGGGGGAACTGTACTACAGAAACACTATGTAACTTGCCCAGGGTCACAGCCTGGGACCAGACCCCAAAGCTGAAATCTGACCACACCCTTCTCTTGACATGAGGGGATCTGAGTTCCCACCTCATCTATCATTACTTGTACTGGGTCTGCCATCTAGCCAGGATGGAGCAAAGATTCATTAATGTTTACAGACTGAATGTTTAAGCTTGGTGAGAGCTTTGAACATGTTGTCAGAAGGAAGCAGACCTCCTGTAGGATTAATCAAAGGTGGTTTATTCAGACAGTGCTATGGCAAGGGAGTTGGCTACTATCACTTTCCTTCCAGCAGAGACCTGAAAGGGTTTGAAAAGAGTGCATTTCGTAAAGAGAAAGGAGAGCCTCCTTAGACAGTCTTTGATGAGTGTTGTGTTTGGATGGGATTTTTTTTCTATTAGGGCAGGATTTTTGGAAGTGGAGTGGGCAGAGTCTTTCTGATTACCATTCATGTACATGTGGCAATCTTTGATTGGTTCATTATCTACTAGTGAATTTCTGGGCTGGGTAGCATCATACGAGTTTTCCTGTTTCATTTGGAAGACTGCCTATTCCTCAGCTTTGGGGCCCAAGCCCTGCATCAGCAATTCCTCAGTGTCTTCATCCACTTTCCCTAATTGTGCCATCCCTGCAGCCAAGGGGTTGGGGGAGATGGAGCAGAAGGACCTTCGTATGGTATCTCCAGTGCTTAGCACTGGACCAGGATTAGAGAAAGTGTGAAATAAACACACGAAGGATGACTCACACTTATTGAGTTCCTCCTAAGTCTTCTCGCTATTTTCTACCCTTTTTTCCCAAATAGGAAGCTCTTTGAGGTCAAGGATCCACCAAAGAGTTCTGCACTGTGCTTTGCTGAGATAAGCACTGGGTTTTCAGTGAAACTGGATTGGATTCAAATCTCACCTCTGCCTTCTGTGAATCTGTGACCTGAGGAACTACCTAGGTCATACAGTGATAGTAAGTATTCAGTGAGTTGTTGTATGTAAAGACCTTGCACATAGCAGGGTCTTAGTAGATGTTGTGTTTCTTCCTCTGATATATTCTTAATAAATATTTGATATCTAATGTGAAACACCAGAGCCAATCTGAGGTATGGGTCATAAGGCCCCTGACACTTTGTAACTTATCTTGATAGCACTGGCCAACAGTAGAGACGTGTATGTGCCAGATGAAAGTATTAAAAGAGTGTAAAGTGGTTGTCTCCAGGAAGAGGGTGGAGGATAGCGGTCAGGGAACCTTTACATTTTTAGAACTTTGCAAATACTGATTCCTGAGCTCCACTCTAGACCTACTGAATCAGAATCACTTAGGATGGAGTCTGACATCTGCATTTTAAATAATCTTCTCAAGGAGTTATTTAGTTTGAGAACTAAAAAAAATTTTAAAAAGCAGACAAACCAAACCATAACGATAAACTCTCAAGAAGTTTCCCAGTGAATCAAGAGACAAGTTACTCTGCCTTCTTCCACTGGGTTCCTAAATGTAGAATGAAAATCCTGTGATTCATAGATGGAGGTGATGACTAAATGCTGCCCTCAGAGAGTCCTGACACATGGGTACAAGACCTATCTTCTACCATGTAGAAGCATTGGCTAAGGGTGAATAAACAGTGATTCTATGCTTTTTCTTTATCAGTATTGCAATTGTGAACTGCTTGAGTAGTAACTGTGGCCATAGGCAATACCACTATCAAAGCATTCTGTACTGTCTGGGATCAGATTGAAGCACAGAGGTAGATATCAGACAAACTGAGTTCAGGTCTTGACTCTGTGATTTAATAACTCTGAGCTTGAGCCAGTTATTTCGCAGCCTCAATCCTTTATCTGTGAAAGGGGGATTATAATAGTATGTATTTTGCCAGTGTGTTACTGAGTCCAAGCTCGTACTACTTGCTGCACAACAGGCCAATAAATCGAGAGACAAGTTGCTGGAGCAAGGAATAGTGACTTTATTCAGAAAGCCAGCAAACTGAGAAGATGGTAGACTCGTGCCCCAAAGAACCCATCTTGCCTGAGTTAGAATTCGGGTGCTTTTTTATACTAAAAGGGGAGGGAGTAAAGTCAAACATTTCCTGGTTCCTGTCAGCCTCCGGGAGAGGATGTGTTAATTTCTTCCTCCCTGCAGTCATTCACGGTGGGCCTGGTCAGGGTGTTCCCTGTGAGCTAAACAAAGGTATTTTAGCTTAATGCTCATTACCTGGGAGGCAGGGTTCCCAGAGTTGGGCCATTATGTATAATTTAAGCTTATAGGCAACATCCGTTTAGTGATTAACTTGTAATAGAATATAAAGGGTTCTTCTCCATTACAAGTGCATTGTCAAGCACTGGAGATCCCAGTGGCTGTTAGCCACTAGGCTTTCTTTGCTTGACTAAGAAATCCTTTTTCATGTTTGTTTCTTTACCTCAGTGAGGCTGTTTCCCCGTTAGTAAAATGAAGGTCAAGTATGACAGCATCTTATTTGAACTAGAGTTAACAATATAGCACTTCTCATAAACTTTGCATACACTGGAAATATTAAGTTCCAAAACTCCTTCATCAAACTTTGGATTTAGAACAACCTGCCTACACTATTTCTTATTGAGTTAATTGTTCCAGGAAAGAAAATAAAAACATCAGTAGACCCACACACCTTCTCTTTCATTTTAGCAGTGCCTGTTAACAGTGAAATAATGTGCTCATTTTCATATCCACACTGATTACTCCCTGGGCCCAGATTTACCAAAGAGGCATGTCAGGAAACCTAGCACAGGGATTATGCATCTAGCAGTTTCAGTGGTTGTTTATCATTACCTTTTCATTTAAGCATAAAAACCATTTGACAGATACAGACTCATTGTAACCAGTAGAAATGAATAGAATTTTTTACAAAACAATCCTAATTTTCATGGATAACATTTGAATTCATGCCACTCCCTGTCAAGAATGAAAATCACTATTAAGATGATGAAACAAAGGGCATTTGTGGATTTTGTTTGGTTATTTCTTCTTTAATGGATAACAGATTTCTTGAATTTACAGGCAAAGAAACTTTGGGCTTTCATTATGTACACTGATAATATCTCTGTTGCTGTTTGTGACAGCCATTTTAACCAATGCTTCAATTGTGTTATTTGCCAATGGCACAGAAAGAAGTTCCATTGTGCTGCAGTTATTTTTTCCCTCTTCAAAAACGCATTAAAATGATTAATTCTGATGATATTTTTCAGCAGCTTATTTAAATTATAAGGTGCACAGAAGAAAAGGGATCTGAAACTAAGTGTCTCCTCTGACAAAACCACAGTAAGCTCAAGAGAAATTCTCACTATATCCTGGAGAGGATCTGGGGGAGGGAAGGTAGAGCCATAGTAACAGGTCAAAGTCAAGATGAAAAAGAAGTAAGAGTAAGGAACATCAGAAACCAGGAGAAGGAGCATTCAGGGACAAGGTCAGCTGGAAGACTGTAAGTGGAGAACGAGAGT